GTTTCACTTTACCACACTTGTAAAAATAACAATTTCATTCGGTTATAGATGGGCAAATAGTTGTATTTCAAAGTAAATTTAATCATTTAAAAACTCTGTCGTTCTCCTTCTTTAATTTCCATTAAATTAATGATATTAACAAACGATAATTGCTTAACTAGAATTTGCAACCCTTTAAAACCGGATATCTTTTAGATATATGTATTTTGTGGTCCCGGACACACACCGAAGCACACACACATTAAAACGAAATAAACACTCGACCAACCACAAATAAATTCGTTGTCTAGACTGGCCACAATTGTTGTGTAACCCTTAGCATTGTTTTAGCAAACTGCGATATATCATTTTGCATGTGGCATGGCATATTAGCGCTCGGTTTTTCCAACATTTTCACACATTTTCATTTCTGAACAAATTACGTACATTATTGCGGAAGAGAAGCCACGGCAACGGCAACAATAGCTGGAAACCCTTTTTTCGCTTGGGGATTTTCAAGAGAGAGAAAGAGAGAGAGGGGAGATTTGGCATTATGAAAACGCTTTAAGCAGAAAATTGGATTTTTTTCATCTTGAATGGAAAACAAAACACAACAAAAAACCAGAGGCCAGGCAATAACAGTAAAGCCCCACCCTCACCCTCTCCTCAGCGGCTACAAAAAATAATAAGTATTAAACATCACCCAAAAGAGCAGCGAAACAAAAAATAAATGTTAGATATGCTGACAAAGGTAATACAATAAATACGAAATGACGTTGCCGCCACGGCTGCTGTTAATGTTAAATTTTACGTAGCCTGCTTTTGGGGTACCCTTGAGGTGGAAAACCAGGAAAAAGGGGAGCACTCTCCCTTTTTTCTTTGTTAGTTCGTAATCGTGCTGATTGTTCGCTTTTTTTGTGTTTGCTTCTTTGGGATTCCTTAATTTCATTCCAGGCTATTCTTATTTATTTAACATTAGTTTTTATTTTATGTGTGTGCCATAAAGCGGCAGCACTCCGTACGCTTGCCACCATAACATAGTTAAGTGTACCATTTTTTGCTTGGAAAACAAACCCCTCCAAGCATAAAGCAAACAAAATTAAAATGGAGTGAAAACTGGAAATGGAATTTTATTTGGATTTTATAGCAAAACATAAATCAAGAACATACTGCGCCTAATTGTTTAATCAAGAGTGTAAACGGTGATAAACCTTGGCCATAAAAGATAACCCACTGATAAGCCGCTGCCTTACGACTCGTCTGACTCACACCCTCTCTTTGGAATATATATACACAAACACGGAAAATCCAGCCCAGTCGAGTGTGTGTGTGTGTGTTTACCAACTATAAAACCAGACCCAAAATCACTAAAGATAACGAGCTGGCGAGTGCCACTGGAATTGCAATTGCAGCATGCTGCAGGGAAATCGGTAGACGAGAATGGCCAGAATCACATCAGAATCCAATTGGCTGCACGTTTGTGTGGCAGACCACACCAAAAAGCTCTTACACCGCCGGCCATTTTGTTGCAAGCTCGTACATATTGGCATTAGACTAATCCGGAGTACCGCACGCAACAACTTAGTTATTGGCATTGGCCATGGCCAAAAGCAGTTCGGCCCAAGTCCCGGAAAATACCAGGGAATCTGAGGACACTGGGGGAAAATACATAGGAAATAGAGGGGTATTGGAAATAAATGAAGAAAAAAGTTCTATACATCTTTTCAAATAATATATTGATGTATATCACAAATACGATAACTTTAAAAACTTCTTTTCAATGATCGATGGTATATGAAACATAAAAAAAGCAACAAGATTAAATGCAATTCATAAAGTTAAAATTAAACTATTATATAGTACTTAAAACTAATTTTAGCTTTAAAAATAAACAATATTATTGTACTTAAAACTAAGTTTAGCTCCAAGAATTGTGTTTACTTTTGTATCTTTGTAGCTTGTATCTCAAAGTTGTATCTGAGTTAATTGGTGCTACATGACTAGCGCAGTAATTAGAAATTATCAACTTGAGATGTTAGGAAAAACATTGTCAAAAATAAATTGAGAAATGAATAGATATCAATTTTAGTTTTAAAAACTTTAATGACAAAATAAAAAGGGAAATGTGAGAAACCTAAAACATGAAATAGATATACTTTATACAGATATGTAGATGTTGAAAACCTGAAGCTTTTGATAGTATTAATTATAATTTAAAATGATTCAATATTTATTTTCTAATATTCAATCTAAAATCATTTTAAGAAATTCTCATATTGATTAATCTCTATTAATTTTTTCCACTGCTCCTACAACTCCTGGTTGTAGAAACTTTGTTATTTTGTTTGGGCCCCAAAGCAGATGCGATGGTGACGCACATTAGCCGAAAGAGCCAGTCCATGCATTGCATGCCATACTTTAGCCCCAGGGCTCCTCCTCCCGATTTAATGTGCAACAGCGAAAAGTTGAACGTGCTGGCAGCCAAAATTTCATTTTGGTTTTTTTTTTTGTATTCTTTCATCCGCTCAACTTGGCAACAAACACACTCGCACTTGCACTCACCAACTGATGGCCATTATCAGCGTCATTATGTGGCATTAGGAGCCGCTCCACCCAGATGATGATGATGTTGGGCAGCTTATAGTTGTATGCGATTTATTCGCGGTGGCTTTCCCCCTGCACACAGGGGGGAATGTGTGAAAAATAGTGCATTTGAGCTCATTTAAATAGCATAAATTAAGATGCTTAAGCTCATTAGGTGGAAATTTTTAATTAGCCAACATTGGACCCAAACCCTTGTAATGACCGTCGACTGGCAGGTGCCCTCTTATCAACCTTTGGGTCAAAAGGAAAATAGGTAGGGCTTATCAGTCAAGTGGGGAGTACAGATTTAACTAATTATACAGCTAATGCAATTCAAATGAAAATGCGTCATCTAAAGAGTTATTATTCCCATGAAATGACGTAGGTAGATAAATAAATTCTTTTCCAGTAATTTAATCATGCTAATTGATGGTGTGTTAATAAATTCATGCATTTATTTTAATACTATTAACCTTGACTTATACTGAAATAGTTAATATAGCTAGCTAGCTGCTCAATATATAAATAACCTAACCCATGACAAACAGTTTCCTGCCCAAGGAAGCCTTAAATCCACTCAGATTTTTTCTATGCATATACGAAAATAATCGAATTTCATACAAAAAAAACGCCAAGGGCAAGAGATTACCCTTAGGGAAAAGAACTCCATTTTCCTTGAATACACATGTATGAGGCTCCATTGCTGCTTGGCAATAGTTTAATATCAGAGATTTATGGACCCATAAAATGGAGAGTGAATTTGCGAATAATTTTTAATGAATCATGTGCTCCGGTAATCAAGCGTTGCCATATCAACCAGGGCACGTGACTCGCGATAAGACCGGCGTACTTAGGACGGTTTCCAGAGAACGCTCCCCGATAAACAAAGCACTTGACTCCCGGGCTAATACCAATTGAGCAGACATAAGGCTCCCAGCCAGCGAGGCAGCCTTCCCTTCACACGTCTCTTGGCCAAATCCTTGAGTAATCCTCGCATATTACACAAAGGTAGAGTGGTTGTTTTGAGTTGTGCCGCTCCCAGCGGGAGATAAGAACGCTAAACCTGGCCAAAAAAATTGTTACGGTTGGCACTTGGTGGAACTTGGAGGGAGACCTTGAAAAGGATTGAATCTCTGGCATTTCGGGATTTTTTTTCTGGGTACACAAATCCGTCATTAAAATTTTTATAGGAGACTATTTTACATTTTAAAATTGATAAGGTTACTTTCGTTGTAATTAATATTTGCATTATTCACTTTGAAATTTCTTTGGGGGGGTTTAAGTTTGTTAAAAAAGTCTTTGAAATATGGAAAGTTGATTCTTATATTCCTTATTTATAGTATTCAGATTAATAGATTATATAGAATTAAGTATTAAGTATTAAGTATTTTAAAATCAAATTTTACATTTTAAATCCACATATATCTTTCAATTATTTTCCCTCGGAATACTTATGAATAACCTCTCTGTCACAACTTTAATATCTTATTTAACACATTGGGCTATCACCTTATGTTATGTACGACTGTCCCTTTCCACAAATGATTGATTGATCACTTCGTCCATCAATTGGTGGCTCCTTAATAAACACACACTGCTGCAGTGCCATATCAGCGGGTGTCATATTGTTGCAACATCATGAAGAACGGACCCACCCCGAACCGTGTCAATCAGGTAATGGAATTGTGCGACGACGTTGGCCAACTCGTGCTTATACTCAATCATTGATAATGCCCCAATAACTATAAGAAAAACTGACCGGTGTGTTGCCATAATTGTGTTTCGGACCCGGTTATACGCCGATTACCTTACCTGACCGAGAGATAAGCCAATGGCCAGCGCCTATCAAAGGCGTTCTGTTCCGCTGGCTGTGTTGTTGGCTTGTTTGGCAATCCACAATCGCAAAGTGGTTCCGAGTGTGTGATAAAAATATGTAGGCACAAAGATTATAGTCAGCCCTCACATACAGTGAAAAAAAATAGCTTTAAAACAGTTTAATAGGTTTATCTGAAGGAATATGAGTCTGACCCCATATTTTCTTTTTGATATCAACATATCATAAAAACAGTTGAATCATTGCTTTATCATATAAGTAAGAAAAAAAATATACCTCAAATAAAATAAAAATATCCTAACTACATTAAATATATTTTCTTGTAATGATACTTTTTATATAGTATTAAACTATAAATGCAATTATGAAATTAATAACTAAACCTCGATAAGAGGCTTGCTCAAAACCTTCTTACCTATCAACTTTAGAATCACTTTAAATTGTAACCAACTGATAATAGTAATTATTTTTTTATCTGTAGCATTTTAGCTGGTTCGGCGATTGTAGGTATATAGGGGTGTATTGTTTAGATTAGCCCCCAGTCTAATTGGCCATCGAGCTCAACGGGTCTTAGGCGATCGCACAGTTCTTTCTGCACCGTTGAGGTGGCAGGTCGCGAAAAATTAGTAACTCTTTCCCAAAATCTCTCTCTCTGGAAATTAAGTTGTGTGTAAGTGTTGTGATCCTTGAGTAATCATAATGAGTAAAATGTGCTCAAGAGTTGAGTGTATGCTTTTTATAAATTATTTCGGTAACACTTGTGATTAATTTTATGAACCAATAGCATTGTGTATGTGCTATTTCGAGACTCATACGCCACGTTGGCAATCATGGTTTGCTAATAAGCAGTGTTAGCTTTATTCCCAAGCGTATTTTCTTGGCACACACAGCCTCATTATCAGTGCCTTGCAGGGTTAATATTACGAGGTTATCAATGTTGTCCGAGATAAGCGCTTAACTGGCCATAAATTAGCTATTTAGCCGTGTTAAGGAACTGCTTCACACGCAATTATTTTAAAATTCCTTACAATTGCATTAAAACTTAATGGTAATTTCGACAACGATAAGATATCTTAATTGATTCGTGATAATTACTCGCTAGCATGCGTTAAACATCAATTTCGCCTGACACTCTATACAGAACTATAAACTTGCTATATGGCGCCATAATTGCCTTGTGTGACGTCAGAGCACGTGATGGATCATATGAGGGTAGCAGCAAAATTGAACCACTCAAACGTCAAGTTGAAAGTTGCCACAAACACAGAAAAACGATTGCCAGACGTCGATGTCGATAATATTTTTACGGCCCACGAACGGATTTCTTAATGAGCCCCGTAACACCGGGCCGCAATCCGAACGCCAATCCCCCAATGAACCCGTAATTGCCGACATAAACCAGCGGGAATATATAGAACTCCAAGCCAAGGGAATTTGCTATCCGGTAATCAGACATTTGCGTGAAGTTCGACCCCCTCTCTGAGGATTTATGGCCAACTTAAAGGCAATTGTCTGGTCTGTGCAGATTTATGGCTAAGACTGATGTACAAAACTGAAACCGATAAGCACATGCTGGCTTTGATTTATCCATCTATGACCACGAGCTAAGCTAAGACCAGCCAGCTACGTTTAACTGTTTGTGGCAATTATAGGGAAATATTTTCATTCTGATTGAGGAATACATCAAGGAATCAGGTTGAGTTGCAAATACATATTACATTTGATTAGAAGGAGAGTGAGAAGACTTCAAATGAACAGAAGAGACAGAAATGTGATAAGGAGGTTGATGTCCTTTGGAAATAAAAACAATTTTTAATCACAAATATAATTCAATAACTATAAATTATGGGTTACTCGGATTTCGGACAGTGAACTTACATATCTGGTTATTTAAGCTTTAAATTATTTAATCAAAAACATAACTTAACTTGAGAAAACGCACTATGTATGTTTCGATAGAATCCTTATTAAATTTCTTGTTAACAAATGAGTTAAATATTGTTTATTCTGTTTTATAGTAACATTATTTTAAATATACTTTAAATTTTAAATTGAGTTTTTGCTTAAGGATAAAGGATACATAGCAATACGAACATAAATAATCCTTCAAAAATATTTCAATAGTAATAATAATATATAATTTATTTTTACAATAATAAAAGTTCCTTTATAAACTTAATCTCTTGTAACTCTCAGTCAAATTATTTTCCTTAAGAACTTTTTACTTCTCATTAATACCATAATACCGAACATTAAATATTTTCCATTGCCTTCATTCACCAAATTTATTGAGCAATTCGAAAATCAACAAGCCTCCTATTAAATTCCACTTCTATGAAGTCACATCCCGTTGTTGTAAATCAAATCTCTCGTATCTCTGGCAAGCTCGGAAACTATTGAAAAAAAATAGCTGAGGCCACAGACAGCGCGTCTCTTTATCGGCCCAGTTAAGAGCGAGAGTCAATCATCATTTTATGGCCAGACAGGCGAGGCAAAATCACAGCCAGTCCAGTGAGCCAATCATAAATATCTACAATCTGGCATGCCCAAAACGGTTATCAGAAGACACCCTTTTGCCGCGCACCTCAACGCTCAGGTCCTGGGCGCGTGGTAATAAGCATTTAATGCAATAAAAGACTTTCGGGGCTTATTTATAAACCAACTGATTGGCGGTAATTGTTAATAATTTCAAATTATTAATGCGCTCAGCGCTCAATGCCCACTCCAGATAGGGTCGCTATACCGCCAGTAGATAACCAACGATGTGATCTCAATAGTCGCCGAGGAAGAGAGTAACCAACCTCTAATCTAATCTCTTCGATTCGATTGATTCATTCGATCTGTTCTGTTCTGTGGAGTTCCACTTAGGTGATTGATTGCGACATTGGCCGGGACTGCATTCAAGTGGACGACCATAAACAATGTGCGTCAGATGGATCAACAATGTTCGAAATCCCATGACAGGCACAGCCCATTAAAGAGTCGTCAAAACAACTCTTATCCCAACCGATTGCACTAATATAAATTATATAATAATGTTTAACATTCAAAATATTTCAATATTACATATTTTTATGGTTTATTAAAGATAATAATAACTTCAAGGTTCACTCATTCTTTGCAAAGGTTTTTGGGAAATTTCCAGCCTTACTAATTTTAAAGTTCATATTTAGCTTCACTTAAATTATATGCCATATACCGATTTTACCCTTATAAAGCCATAATTATCATTAGGGGAAATATTGATGACTATCAGCCTGTATGTTCCCATGTCTCATTGGGTTATAAAATGGGTAAATAACAAATAAATTAGTCATAAATGCCATTGCTGATAAGAAATTTTATCAATGGTTCTACATTGTAGTAAATTTAAATAACAATATATTTCACAGAGTCGTGAAATATATTATCTAAAATTACATATACATAAATTGATGCTTTAGTAACTTTCATTAATGAGCTCAAAATGGATATTTAAATATTAATATTTAAAACCATTTCCTTCTTCAACTGCTATTCATATTTATGAATTACCCCTTTATTTCTTGCAGTGATCCACCCTCGATACCAACATGGGTGACATGTTCCGCAGCGAACAGATGGCCCTGTGCCAGCTGTTCATCCAGCCGGAGGCAGCCTATGCCTCCATTGCCGAGCTGGGCGAGAGTGGATGCGTCCAGTTTCGTGATCTAAATGAAGAGGTCAGTGCCTTCCAGCGGAAGTACGTTAACGAAGTGCGAAGATGCGATGATATGGAGCGTCGCCTTCGGTACATGGAGTCCGAGATGAAGAAGGATGAGTTGCAGTTGCCCGAACTGAAACCGGAGGAAGAGCCGAATGCTCCGAACCCGCGAAATTGTGGATCTGGAAGCTCAGCTGGAGAAGACCGATAATGAGCTACGTGAACTCTCCGCCAATGGAGCCAGTCTGAATGCCAACTTCCGGCACATGCAGGAACTCAAGAACGTGCTGGAGAACACCGAGGGCTTCTTCTCCGACCAGGAAGTCATCAACCTGGACTCTAATCGCATGGTGGACCCCAATGATCCAGCCCAGGCAGGAGCCCAACGTGGTCAGCTGGCTTTTGTGGCCGGTGTGATTAACTGGAAAGATTCTTCAGCTTCGAGCGCATGTTATGGCGTATATCCAGGGGAAATATCTTCCTGCGAAGGGCCGACATTGATGGTCTGGTGGAGGATGAGGAGACTGGACGTCCGGTACTGAAGACCGTCTTTGTGGCCTTCTTCCAGGGCGAACAACTGAAGCAGAGGATCAAGAAGGTCTGCACTGGATACCATGCCTCTGTCTATCCCTGTCCCAGCTCTCATGCCGAGCGAGCGGAGATGATCAAGGATGTGAATGTGCGTCTGGAGGATCTCAAGTTGGTCCTTAGCCAGAGTGCTGATCATCGCAGTCGGGTGCTTAACTCCGCCTCGAAGCACATGGCACGTTGGTCGATCATGGTGCGTAAGATGAAGGCCATCTATCACATCTAAACTACTTCAATCCGGATGTGACGGGCAAGTGTCTGATTGGCGAAGGTTGGGTGCCCACCAACGATATTCAGACGGTGCAGAATGCCCTGGCCCGTGCCTCCAAGATCTCGGAGAGCTCCATTCCGGCCTTCATGAATGTCATCGAGACGAATGAACAGCCGCCGACTTATACGCGAACCAATAAGTTCACCAGTGGCTTCCAGAACCTGTGGATTCGTATGGCATGGCCTCTTACCGGGAGGTGAATCCCGCTCTATATGCCTGCATCACGTTCCCCTTCCTGTTGCCGTGATGTTTGGTGATTTGGGACACGGCATAATCCTGCTGCTCTTTGCCGCTGGCTGATCATCAAGGAGAAGCAATTGGCTACGATTAAGGAGGAAATCTTTAATATATTCTTCGGGGGCCGCTACATCATCTTCTCATGGGCCTCTTCTCCATTTACACGGGCTTCATCTACAACGATGTGTTCTCCAAGTCGATGAATATCTTCGGTTCCGGTTGGCACATGAACTATACAGGGCCGAAATCGAGGATCCTACCTTGAAGTCCATAACCCTTAGGCCAAACGATACGGTTTACAAGACCTATCCCCTTGGCGTGGATCCCATTTGGCAGCTGGCCGACAATAAGATCATTTTCCTCAACACTTTTAAGATGAAGCTCTCGATTATTGTGGGAGTGCTGCACATGATCTTCGGCGTCTCCATGTCGGTGGTTAACTTTGTTTACTACCGCAAGTACGCCAGCATCTTCCTGGAGTTCCTACCGCAGGTTCTCTTCCTTCTCCTGCTCTTCGGCTACATGGTCTTCATGATGTTCTTCAAGTTTATTGTATACAATGACACTGTCGAAGGACCTCTCTCGCCGGCATGCGCACCCTCTATTCTGATCCTGTTCATTAACATGATGCTCCAAGGCTCACAGGACACGCCCGAACCCTGCAAGGAGTTTATGTTTGATGGCCAGAAGCAACTGCAGCAGGTCTTTGTCATCATTGCCATCATTTGTATTCCCTGGATGCTCCTGGGTAAACCATTATACATCATGATGCAGCGCAAAGCGAAAGGAGCTCCGCCACCAAAGCCATCGGGCGGAGGCGGAGGCGGTGGTGGTCATGGTGAGGATGAGCCCATGAGCGAGATCTTCATCCACCAGGCGATCCACACCATTGAGTATGTGCTAAGTACGGTTTCGCACACGGCCTCCTACCTTCGATTGTGGGCCTTGTCCCTGGCCCACGCACGTAAGTTAATTTAATTTATTATTATAAATATATATAATTAAATATATTTTAAATATTTACACAGAGCTCTCCGAAGTGCTGTGGACATGGTGTTTTCCATGGGCTTCAAATTCGACAACTACATCGGCAGCGCCCTCATCTATATATTCTTTGGGGCTGGGCAGGCTCACTGTTGGCATCCTGGTGCTCATCGAAGGACTCTCGGCCTTCCTTCACACACTGCGCTTGCACTGGTAAGTTTGTGCTCACTTTCGAAATGAAATATAAGGATTTAAAGCCGAATTCCTACTTTGCAGGGTGGAGTTCATGAGCAAGTTCTACGAGGGCGCTGGTTACGCCTTTGAACCCTTCGCCTTTAAGACCATACTGGATGTCAGCGAGGATGACTGAGGGAGGATAAGGATAGTAAGAATGAGAATGCGCAGGACGCACTTCCCCGAAAAAGCATTTTCCGTTCATATTATTCATTTTTTTTGGTTTACGGAAAAAATAAATTTCGTTTGATATGCATATTGAATACCACCGGATTTCGCCTTATCCGCCATGTTTCTACTTCTGCTCTTGTCAGCCGACGACAAATGTTTGTCATATGATTTCTGACATCCTTGCTCTGGTCACCCAGTGACAACTGCAGACAGCCCACACAGAACTGCACATATCCGAAACAATCTCAAAGCAAATGTCCTGGCTATCCTCAAAAAGGATAAAGGATTCCTATGCTCCTCTCTGTGTATGTTTGCTCATCTTTGGCTATTTTTTCTCATTAGCAAAGTTGTCATATGCTGAAATTATGTTGTCAGTTCGGCTGTCCATAGAGCATTGAGTTGTGAAATTGGACACTCACAATTTAAATAATAATACATGACAGATGGGATGTTTTACCATTGAGAATGAATAGGAAGTGGCCATAGTTTGGCTGTCAGTTGGGATTTAAGAAATTGTTATGGAAAATATTATGAAATTTCTTTAAGTTTTATACTCAATTTGTATAAAAACCAATTCTATATCAGCAATTCTCGTAAGAGTTTAAAAGTTTACTTGCTCTCTAACTGTTAAATGGCGCGAAATTCTTTTCAATTTCAATTCCAAGTTCCCGCTTCGTTTGTTTTATTTGAAGCCCTTTACCTGCACTTGTTTTTATTGTTAGACTTTGCCCCTCTCTGCAAGTTGCCAAATATTTGCATTCGAACTCAATTGGTTGCGTTTTGTGTTTATTGCCTTTGCTTGCTGGCAAAAATTGAATGTGTTCTAGTCTGCATCTATCTTTTTTTTTGGGGAGAGGTTTTCGTTGTCGTTATCGTTGTGCCATTGCCATTGCTTTTTCCTGCCAGAAAATATTTTCGCGAGCATCGGAGTGTTGACAACTAGGCAGTGGGCGCGCATTGGGCATTGGCCAGGTGAATCCGGAAGGTGGACAGGTGATCCGGGCCAAAACACACGCAATGCAAATACGAATTCAAATAGGCTGACAAACGCTTTGAACCCGCATGTCAAACGCTGTTTTCCCAACAACCAAAAAAAACAAGAGCAGCTAAAAGGGGGAGAATTAGGTTCTCTTTTGAAAGGATTAAATCTATAGATACTCTTTCCTCCTAACTTGAATACTAGGGGAATAAGTTTAAATAAAATTAGGGGAAGAAAACACTCATAGAAGCATTTATTTTAATATTATGAAGCAGAAATATAGTTTAAATAAATAAATTCTACACTTTTTGCATTTTGAGTGTATTGTTTTATACTACAATTATTTTCTTATTTTTCTATAGGTATTTGAAGTGATATTTTTATATTTTATAGAAATAAAATAGGCACCTTTAAGGCTTCAATTTTTTTTAAATAATAATCCACCTTCCAAGGTTTATTCTACACAAAACTAACATGTTTTCCTCTACTCCCGAAACTAACCTCTGACCCAGTGGCTGCCATGGTTAAGGCTTGTTTGTGCAGCTGACATACTGGTCAAGTTTTGTGCACTACGAAAATAGAACATTTCACATTACGTATACGCCACGTATCGGGTGCAGCATTGGAAACAAATGCCGCCAAAATAACAACGAGAACCATCCAGACAATGGCATATAAATATGGCTATGAAATACATTAAACAAATAAATGTTTGTGCATGCATAGACAGTTTGGACTGTGTGGCAGTTGGTCGTAAATTATGTGAGTTGGCCTAATGCATTTGGCCTCGTATTAATCAATGTTTGTGCTGGTCTTGTGTTTTTTGTTTGAGTTGGACAACTGCGGCATTTGCTCGTGCATTTGTTTTAATTTATTTGCGAGCCGCAATTATTTCATTTTGTTTGGCCCCGACTTTCCTTCACTATTACTATTTTCGTTTTTATATATGTTTTGTTTCTTCTTCTTTTTTTGGCAGTTGTCGTTTGATTTTTTACGCCTGCCGCAGCAGCGTAAATATAAATCAAACTGCATTTGTTCAGTGCCGCTGATTTGCATTGGGATTTGTTTATAAATCCGCAAGCACATTGGATATCGAAATATAGCTATGCACCATGCCGCATAAATGTATCCATAGATATTGCTTTTTAATTGTTTTTTTCTCTTAAATTTTTTATGATTTTCACTGGCATATGCAGCCAGAGGGCGCCTAATTGAATGCCAAAGCAAAAATAGTTCAGCTAAATGCAATTTTTTGCGTTCTGACCCCTTTTATGTTAGCTTTTATTTCGCGATTTATTATTATTTGAGGCTATTAAATAAATATGCAATTTGTTGAATTGCTTTGATATACATTTAATGAAATATGCCAGCTAGTTCTTTTTATTATTTTCATGGACTTTGCTGCGGTTTTTTATAACCATCGAAAATCAAAGCATAAGCTCAGATCTAGATCAACTTCTTGGTGTCCCAATTTTATTATCACTTGCCACAAAAGCCAGAACCAAATCACCGAATCCCAAATTACCCCTGGCATAGGCCTTACCAGATTTTACGACACACCATCGTCGTCGTCGTCGTCCAACAAAGTCCGTAAATCAAAAGCAGATAATTTTCCAACAGCTTCACTTTCTTTGTGGCCTCACCTATCCCGGCCATACCGAAGGATACGAAGGAATAAAATAATTGTTCAGTGAGAGAGAGAGCCACAAATTATAACATTTTTATGCTGCTCCTCTTTTTTCCCTTCTCGAGCGGAGGCTACTAAATTTACATACTCCATGACGAGCTGCCGCCCACTCAGCTGGACGCACGTTCCAACTTTTACTGTATTTATGCCACCGAAAAAGGGACGAGATCGAGAGGGAAATGCGAGAAAAGCTGGAAAGCCGGCCGTGCCGGGGGTTAGGCAGGAAAAGTGTGTGAGCACAATTGCGCGTCATAAATTTGAATTATTGTGCTCTTTGCATTTGACAACGACTTAAAAGCACTTGCAGCGATTTGGGCCAGCAACGTCCAGTTCAGTTCAGTGAAAACTCCGAGGCAGTCAGCCATGAACATGTCCTTGAGACATGTACGAGAGACCGGTGGTGCACTCAGGAAAAGTATAGGGAATTTAATTTTCAAAATATATAATAGGTAATTAAACATACTATTACTAAAGAATTTACATTAACTTTCCTAAATGATTTTCTATAAATTATTTCCAATGAATATTATAAACATTTCGCTATTAAATATTTTATTGTAAACATTCACAACCTAACTAAACAAAACTTAGCACCTTTAATGCTCATTAAATAAGAATGAAGTAATTATAAATTTAGTAAAAATTAATTTATTACAATTATGTAAATGTATTCACACTATTTAATTCATGTTTCAAGTGTAGAAATACGCCTCACAAACCTCGGGAAGCGCCATCTTTTTGTTCGCTCTGCCTGGCTGCACAGTGCTGCCACGCCCACAAGGAGAGGCAACAACAATGCCAGGGACATTTTTAGTGGACATTTATTTTATGCTCGAATCGCATTGAAATTTACGCCGAAGGCGCCAGCTTTGTTGATGATGAAGTCGGTCAGCCCTGTGCGGTGGCCTGTCTTTTGTCAGGCCATAAAATATTCTCCCCTCCGCCATCCCGCCCAACGGATGGGCTTCCAGCTTCCTTTCAGCATCAGCATCAGCTTCAGGATCAGGAGCAGTAAAGTGCATTAGCCATTTTAGCACTTGACGTACATTCATCCACAAAACGGTAGTGAAATCTCCCCCCTTCCCCTTCCTAATTAGCCAGAACTGCAAGGCCAAAGCCCGGTTGCAGCTCGGTTGTCTTAAAGTGTTAAAGCGTTTTGGCACAGACTTCATCTGGGATATGTCTATCAGATGGAAAATGACAGACAGCTGAAAACGGATTAATTTGTCACTGAATGCGAGCTATGCTGACAGCCAAGACCGAGCCACAAATTGCACGAGATATACATTCTTGAGTAGCGTCAAAAGAAAGCCAAAGTAATTTGATATTTTCACAAAATATATATATATTTATGTGTGTGTGTGTCTATGGTACTGGTAAGGGGGCGTTGAATTGACCATGTTAACAATAAACAATTGACCACATGACATGACAAGCAACGAATGTGCTGGCCAAGAATGTTTCCATCAAAATGTAAAGTGAGTGAAATGAAAATCGAGACGAAAGTACCTAGTAATTGTAATAAATAATAATGGAAAAATAATTAAAAGCCCTAAAAAAGTAGCTTAACTTAATATTATGCTTTAAAATTTTTATAAAAAATTATTTAACTTAGTTGAAATGGAAATTAAATATTCATATGTATAAATAAATGAAGTATGTTTTATGTCTGTATTTTTTCTTTTATTTTAATTTAATTTTTACCTTACCTGATATAAAACATATTTTTTATTTTATTTATAATATATATTTTTTTCATTACCATCATATTTGGCTACATTTTTTTTTCTTTATATCAACCAATTAAATCAATATTCCCCGATTCCCATTGATTGCTGAGTATCAAAAAACGCTTGTGGGCTGCAATAAAACTATTAAACGTTCCAAACTCACACACACACACATGGCGGGCCTCTTTGTACTCGTTCAATTGTACAGCAATTTTATTTGTACGTTTTTTGGTTCATTTTGGTCCTCTTCTCTTTTTTTTGTGACTCTGGGCCATGTCTGCACAAATGTTGCATAGCAATTGCTTTGTGTGTTCAATTTTTGGCATAACAACAAACAAGTGCACACACACACACACATACACACACTCACAGACAAGTAGTCGCCCACATAGACACACACACAGTCTCAGTTGGACAGCAACAATGGGCAGTCAAACAAATGAACAAGAGCGCACAAATTTTGCAGCTGTCAGTAGCACAAGCCAGGACACGAACCAGGCACAACAGGAGGCACAAAGCAAAATTTTTTATTTGACAAAAAAAAAACAAACGAAGAAAGACAGAAAAACGAAACCCAAAATTGTGGTTTAAAATAATTTTTTCCTATTTTTTATTTAGTTTTCTGAGAAATGCAATGGCCGGCAGCCAAAAATTGTGGGGGGGAGGGGTGAGGGAGTGGGCGTAGCAATCGTTTTTGTCCGAGTGGGCGTGGTCGCAAATTGTTAAATGCTTAGATGTCTGCAAAGAATTTGTCGCCAAAAGGCGTTCGGAATGGATTTTCCATTTCCAGCTGCCGTCACGTATACGTAATATGGCCGATGGCAGCCCCCGAAAGTATGCACCACAAAAAAGAGTGGAGTTCTTCCACGCGAATAGATGTTGATAAATGTTTTTAGTTGACTCACTTCACTTCACTTCACTCCACTCCGGCTGGAATATATGAAAAATGGGCTATTGATAAATGGCATATTGTTTTAGTTACCGACTAGGTTTTTTATCCAAGTCTAGCGTACAAATTATGACGAATGCCAAGCATTTATTTTGCCATTCTTCCGGATAGTTTTATGTTTTCATAGCAATGAGTTTGATGACTTTGTAAAACAAATAATATAATAATAAGCCATAAATTTTTTATTATTTATGCATTGCTGCTTTTATTATATTATAGAAATGATGACTTATGTTTTAAACTAGGATGTTAAGGCTAAATTATTATTTATTTTTATATTTAACAAATAAAAAGCTGCTAAATAAAATTAAATTGGAAGTGAAAAGAAGTTTATTGCATTTATAAAAGTAAATATTTCAGAAACATAAACTGTTTCATTTTTCTTTCAGTATTCAAATATTTGTATACCCTTTCAGGTATTTATCATATATATTATTCAGCATTAAAGCCGAATCGATCTAGCTATGTTTGGTACAAATTAAATTTTTTCAAAATTTGGATCATTTTATAAAGGGGTTACATCATTAAAAGTGTCAAAACTAGACAAAAAAATTAAATTTTTTATATTTTAAAAATTAGTATTCAAACTTGTTAGCCATACAAAATTAGCACAGAAAAGCTTAACGAATTGGAATTTATACATTTTTGGCAAAGATATGATATTTCAAAACTTTGATTTACCCAAAAAATTAGCATATAAAAATATTGATTTAATATACCTAAAATACTGTTTATTTTGTGGGTATAAAAACTTGCGCTCTTCGAAGTTAACTTCCTTTCATGTTATAAATATTTTAAGAAAATATTTTAAATGAAAACATTTCCTATTCAATATAAAATCGTATCAACTATTAAGTAGCCTTAAAACCTGAAGAACTATCATGGCAGCTTTCTTTTTCAACCCTGTGACCCCTCTAACTAAGCAGAACTATTCAAGCAGCTTAGGCAAATCTAATTACGCTTGCAATAAGCAGCTAATAAACCTCTAAGCAGCAATTAAAGGCAACGACTGCTTAAAGGCGATGAGCTCTGTTGCCGCATTAAACGCGCACCCGCAGATATATATATGTATATGGCCATGTTATCCCTTGTTGTTTGAGCCAGCGACGCTCCTTTTGGCCAGGGTTCGCATTTAATTGTGCGCCATGTTCAACAGGCCATTGTACATGCGTATTAAATGTAATTAACTCATTATAAATGATAACGTGGTCACAGGGAGTCGCATTCAGGTATGTCTCTATGTCTCAAGCCGCCAAGAAGGCATCCCTGATGCCACGGTCAGGACCTCTCTCTTACCCAGGACCATGGCGGCTGTCACAGCTAATTTAGTCGGGCAGCCGGCAGAACGAACGTGTTGGGTTGCCCACCGTGCCGGGGGTAAATGCGAAATTATTACCGGAAAAGGACAATGAGACGCACTGGCTATTATTCAGTCAGCGGCCAAATGGGAATAGAAATAGTGCTGCCAGCAGTACCTTGAGTCAAACAAGAGAAAAATTGGCAACAAAAAAGGCTAGCGAAATGGGGATAGAATTTACAAAAGGATCAAAGAATAGAAAAGTTTAAAATATAAAAATATTTATACTACTTTCTTAAGAAGAATTCATGAGTAGAACCTTATACGTATATTAATATTTGATTATATATTTTAAGGGATCCATGCACTCCACTTTTATAAGAGATTAGAAAATTAAAATTAATTCTGTTTATATAATTATAATTGTTTAAATAAAAACCTAACTAATTGATTCTGATTGTTCATATGGTAAATAACTAAGTATTTCTGTAAATAAAGACTAAACTTCAAATACAGGTAATTGTCTTTAATCTTCATTTACAAAATTCCAACTCTAACCGGAAATGGACAAATTGGTAGCACTGTGTAGGCAACTTCACATAGTTCTCACTGAAAGCAGGTAATAAAAACTCCTTTATGCGCTCGAGTGTGCCACTCCCAGTGATATTTGGCCCCTTGGTTTATTTTATAGTTTGTCTCTCGCCTTATTTTCACGCTCTTGCCACCTCGAGTCAGCCTTTTAATTATGTAACACGCTCCGACACAGGAGTGTTGCCTTACGCACCTCGACATTGGAGCGGGGAATGGTGGCTTTTCCATTTTCTCTCTACTGGTCTACGGGCATTTTCCGCATTTCCGCATTGCCGTTGGCCAGTTGCGTGTGCTTCATGTGTGGACTTAATTCAGATAAAGCGAAATTGCAGATAAGTTTAATTGGTTAAATGGTGACAAAACGTTTACATTTATTTTCAGCAGCGAAAGGTTTTATATTGCTAAAAAAGAAATTAATTTATGAGCTAATGTTTTCGAACTTTTTCTTGCAGCATTTAAAATAAAAAATAAATCTTCATCCCCATCTTCTATTTATTTTACCGTCTCATTTCTTTAAAGCTCTTTAAGGCAATTACCGATAAGTTTAATTGGCAAAGTGCTTTGCATAAATGGTGACAAAGCACTTTCATTTTTCTCAGGCAAATCATTTGCGATTCCTTCGTTAAAGACCACAATTCTGCGGGTGTTCGACTTTAAAAAAAGAAATCTTGAAAATTCAATTTAAATCTTGAAACGAGCACAGAAGTGGTGGGAAAACGAGAGCCAAGGGAGAAGACTAACTGCCAACATTTACCATCAATAGCCGCATTTGCTTATATCAAGTGAAAACTTTCTTATCGGCGGCACAGCGGCAACTTCAATGACAAATTGAGACAGCGATGTGCAGCTGAGGGGGGCGGGGCGCAAGAGGAGCCAAAAGTTGGCTAACACACACACTCTCACACACACACACTGATATAGATTGGCTTGTCGCTGTGACAACTTGCCACTTTGAGCACGTAAATTTTTGTCGTCTCTCTTGCCTTTTGAATTGATAAGAAAATTCATAAAATTTCCTGCAATGGCAGAGAAGTAAAGAAAGAATGGGGGCCCCCGGAGGCGGAAAACGCCAAAACGCAATCCAACTCAAGTGTGTCAGCAGCCGTGAAAGTGGCATTTGAGCCGGGCTGCAAACTTTTCCTGCCAACTTGCTAATCTAATGAACAATTGTGGCTGCAGGCCACCTTTAACACCTCCATGCCCCGAGGACGAACTCTGGCCTGGCACCTGTGCTCTGCTGCTTCCCCCCCAAACTTTCTGGCACTGAAAATGCAGGAGATTAAAAACGAAAATTAAGCTTCCATTCGGAATGTCAAACGAGTGCGTTTTTTCCTCGACATTCCTAATTGAATTTGCCGTCAACGGTTTTGGCAGGAATTTAATGCAATTCTTTGAGTTTTTCTCAAAAATTGCAAGCAAAGTTTGCAGACGTCGACGACAAGCAAGCTCAAACAAGTCAGCAGTCAACTTAATTGTCATAATTTGTGTTTACAAGCCTGACGAGCTGGCTAAAAAAAAGTAAATTAAGGGAAAGAAAGTAGAAAAATATAAAAAAGAAATGGGGAAAAGGCCGAGAAAAAATAAAATGTAGCAGGAAGAGGAAGCCGGGATGAAAGGATACGAAGGCGGGCATATGTGGCCAGCTGGCTGAGCAAAGTTTTCTGCTCAAAAAAAACAAACAACAAAAGGCCACAAGCAAAAGACTCAGGCAGAAGCGGCACAACGAAGCTGCAAAAAAAAAGACTATCTAAGCGTATCATCCTGGACTTTAATACGCCAAACTCATTCGAATTTCTGTTAAAAAAAAATGCTCTAAAGATATGGGATCTGAGGATGTATAGCGAAAGATATGTCCGATATGGTTTACTAATAAAAGAAATCTCAATATCAAATCTAAAAGTACTACTAGTAGCACTATCATTAATAAAGATATGTATGTTTTCCAGCTCAAATTATTATAATAATTCCTAGATTCTATAATTTCATATTTATATTTTAGCTTTAAAATCATAAAACCCCTAATTAATAAAAGAATCTTGAATAAATTTAAAATCCAAGTTTAAAACTCCTGACAGGCCCAACGGCTGTTGGGTAAAAAACATTATCTCCCCAAGAATCACAATGAAGCCAGGGAAACCCTGAACTAAAATTGGACACTTAATGCTGGGTGGGAAGGAAGACAACGACGGCAAAAGACAAATAAAGACTAAACAAATAAAATCTAATAAAACCAAGGACACAAAAACTTGAGCCAAGCCGGCGAAAATGAGCTAAATGCGGGAAATGGGAAGACTATGGAATGGGTCGTGGTCGTGGGTGGGGAGGCTGTTAGAGTGAGGCGAGAGAGCAAATGAAATAAAGTGCCAGAAGTATGTTTCATTAGCGGCAGCAGCAGGAGCAAACCAGACAACAAACAAAGCTAAGGACAATGGTCGGCCAAGGACACATGCTCCAGTGGAGCTGCCTGATGAACTTCATCCAACAGCCAGCAAATAAGCGGGGAGAACTGAGAAAAAACAAGCTGCAAACTGCTGGGGATGGCAATGTGTATTTACACTTCAATTGGAGTGGTCTTTAATTTATAAGAGAATGTGGAAAAAGGCGTTTAAGAATCTGTACATACCATACATTATAATTATATACTTTGAACATTTAAGATAACAAATAGTTCTTAAATTAGTTTCATATGTGAAATTTACAAGATTTCTTATTAATAATTTTATATCTTTATCTTTGTGAAATGTTAGTCTAGACAGAGTTCGTTGCATGCCTCCTGGAGTGCAAAAAATCCACAAGGCTCCTTATCCTGAACGACTGGATAACATTTTTAAGATTTTCATCGAAGCCCAGGTGGAATTTTCCTCACAGTTTAATTTGATATCGTCACGCCTACATAATGCTTAAAATATATTTATTATTTTCTAAGAAAATATGCTGAAGTTCAACAGTTTCATTTACTCTCTTGGATGGAATCAGCCGAGGAATTATGAATTAGCAGGCAAATTATAAGCAAAACAATAGATTGATTTGAGATATGCATTTTACTAAGTCAAGTGCTTAAATGACTTTTGCAGATCGTATAAATTCATTAAACAGTTAAATAAGTGTAAAATTTTAAATTTCACAGAAATATACATTCCATTGCTAGTCCATACGACTACAAAAATACCCAGTCATTCAATAAAATATATTATACATCTGTTTTGTTATTTAACATATAAAGTTAGTTAAATAGAAATCTGTTCAGAGTTATAGTTTACTCGAGGTCTGGAAATTAGGTCATAAAGCGAATAAAAACTTAAACAAAGTGAAAGTACTTCTGGTTTTTTAAAGCAAGCATGCAGTAATATTAATTTATTTTTAGTTCAATTTCTATTTAATTTCCTTTGGGTCTTCGTAGATATTCCAAAGAATTAAGACAAAAGTCCTTGCAACCCTTTTCTCCATCAAAGAATCCGCATGGCTCTTTATTCATTGGCACAAGATAACATGTATTATTCCGCTCATCAAAGCCCCAAGTATTGTTTTGATAACAAGTTATTGAGCCGCCAGTTCGCTTACAAATTGCTTTATAAATGAAATATATATTTAATTATCACCATTATTATTTTCAAGTAGGATAAATTACTTACTGCTGTACACTGGACTTTGGTAATAGGCAAGACAAACCGATAAACTATATACGGCTATGAGGATTGGTAACTTCATGATGACCACCAAGACAAATGGAAATACAAAATAATTTGAAGGTAATAAAACGTGTTAGATTAAATTTTGTACAATTTAAATGTCATAAAAGAAACGAAATTAATTTTTCAAGCGAAACTTAGTTTTCTTAGACTCTTATTCCTTTCTTTTTTCAGCATTTGTTTATAACACTGGCTGCATTCAGAGAGCAACTTTTATAGATTTATTTTGACGAGTGGCTGTTTTAGAAATGAACAGTAGCAAACAATAGCAATTGGCAATAGAGTGTATAGAGTATAGATTTAAGCTTTTTAAAGGTGAAAAATGAGAAATTCACCTTCGCAGGCTTTTCCAAACTAATGTGAACAAAGCCACTAAGTCTATGAATTGTCTCTGTGATAAGTGAGAATATACATATCTTTATGCCCAAAAACAATTCATATTTCTCGAAACATTGCAAGCACAACAAAAGCAATGTAATCTTATTGCCGACACGCGAAATTCGAAAAATGTAAAAATGCGAGAAGAGGCGACGAAATAAATAAATAAAAACTCAACGCGCAAATGCCGCAAGTGCTTTCATAAATTTTAAGCGATTTTATAATGGTCGCTATGTACATCTAGTTGTCGCTTTGTGTTCACTCTTCTGGCTCCCTGAGTTTTAATAACATTTTATATAACGTCGAGTCACGATTTTTCAATTATGCCAGACAGTATGAATTGTGTGACGAAAACTCATAACTTTTCCCCAAGTAATGAGAAATCATTTTTAGAATGAAATTATAATTGTCAGGGATGAAATTATCTTTATAGTTTATTAAAAAAGACGAATGTTACTGTAATAAGTATAAAACCATTAACCCGAATGTGAACAAATCGCTTAATTGACTTAATTCATTGGCTATATTATTTTGGGACAGTCTCTATTCGAGCAAATAAACTGTCAGGCCCAAATCACATTCAAAGCACATCAAACTAACCTTTTACAGATCGGTAACAATTTTCCTCCTTGTTAATCTTCATTAATCAAAAGCATACACGCTCACAAAACTATAAACACACATCTTGAATGGGCTATTAAAATGAACTTTTAGGGCTTAGCCAGGATAATGGGCTAGAAGGATGGCGGGGAAAAACTAAAACACGACATAATTATGCAAGAGACATTGGGGATAATTTTGATAATAACTCAAGCAAAGGGAAACTTTCTGAGAGTGTGTGTTGTGTGTGTTGTTCGTAGGCTTATTATGAATGCTCGAATAAATTGCTGCTTATAATTTATACTGTGGACTCGTAATTCGAAATTATATATGTGGCTTTAATTGCTCAGTCACTCAGTTGGACCGAAATGTAGGCCATAAATAGAACCCAGAGACTGAGTTGATATTTACTGAAAGGTTTCATCTTAGTTTTTCCATTTCATTAACATTTTAAATGTTTATTAAATATAAACTTTATGAATGATATCTCTCAGATTTGTTTTGATATTAAAGATGGTCTGAAAGAGTTTTTGGCAGCTTTCTGTTTAAAATAATAATTAAGAGAAAATGCAGAGTTAATATATTTTCGACCTTAAATATTTTTGGTTCGAAATTTAAGCTTATTTCTTTATGTTGCATTGAATGTGTTCTAAAAACCACAACCATTGAATAAGTGAATAAAGTTAAGCATAATTATTGTAGCCTTTAACATTAAAACCTTAATATGATTAATTAGAATAAATGGTTTGAATTTAGTCAATTAAATTAAAAGCGAGTACATACACAAATATAAAAAAGGGGCATAATTAATTGACAAACTATAATATGGAAAACCAAATAAATTAAATACAAAAAGATAGAAAACTAACTTCGGGAAGCCGATGCTAATATTCCCTTGCAGTTTGCAATTGCATAATAGGTTTAAAGTATTCGCATTCTTTATATCGATATTCCTCAATATTTTTATATGACAATTTCTTCGACAATTTAAATGTTCAAAAACTCATAACTAAGCAAAAAAAAACATTAAATTTAGTTCGGAAAACATTCCTATGTTAATTTTTATTATGTTAATAAGTCTGCATATTCATTTTGAAATTACAAAGAAATTAAAAATTTTGACAATTTTAACCTTATAAAATTTTCAAAATTTTAAAAAATTAAATATTCTCCGGACATATGCAGATCGACTCGGCTGTTCATACTGATTAAAAATATATATGATTTATAGGGTCGGAAATGACTTCTTCGCTGTGTAACAAGCTTCTGACTAAAATTATAATACCCATTAAAGGGTATATAAAGTGTTTTTCAATGTGTAATTTACTCTAAATTAAATTAATTTTTATGTTTAGCAAAATTTTAAAGCTGCCAGTTGTTTGATTATTATTGGCTTTGCTATTAAAATATTTATACAGTTTGCCAGTCAGAGGAACTCCTCTCATCCTGATGGAAATACAGAAAAAACAAAGCCTGCAGGACATTCATGCACGGAGGCATACATACATACATACATGCACTCATGCTGGTATGACATGTTTTTACAGTTACGTAACAAACAACAACAGCAGCCAGCCCTGTTAAGGCCCGAAAGGACGTAAAGGCTGCAGGCAAATGTAGTGACAGTTAACATTAACACCAATACAAGCGTAAACATATGCTAAAAGGGCCATATCTATGGGTGTGTGTGTGTACGTGTGAGTATGTTCAATGGCATAGGCAGGACCTTCTAATTGGTCGCTAGTGCAACTGGGCTTCATGGTTGCCATTGCTCGTGTTTGGCTGCTGTAGCTGCCAATTTTAATTGAATTAGAAAACATATAGAAGAGGCCACCGAAACACTGCTCAGAAAATATAATAAATATAGGGAAATGTGATTTGTAAAAGCTTTTATTATTTAAAATATATTTTTGGCAAAAGGGGATTTTTCTTTAACATTTTTGATTAAAGTTGTAATAAGTAATAATATGTTCAAGTGAAAAGTGTGATGAAACATACCAATACTTTATAAATATTAATTTTTATTTAAGAAATCAAAAGAAACTTCAATTCTACCTTAATAATTGTAATATTTATTTCTTTATTATAAATTTTTTTTATAATATTATTTTTAATATAATTTAATTTATAGAAATAACCTTGCTGTGCACAACAAATCCACATGAACACGGACTCGATTATTCCAGCATGCAAACACACTTCAGCGAGCATCCTGTTTTCGGCCTACACCCACACACACACACCCAAACACATACACACACAGTCACACCCGCAGTCTATGCCACAATGTCACTCAAGCAGGTACTAAAGTTAATTACCACAATTTCCGTGGAAAATTGTTTTATGCATTGACAGCGTGTGGGTCGAACCATGGATTTTCCATGTATTTTTCCCCAACGAGAATGTATGTTTGTTGGTATGTAAGGATGGGGCATGCCACGCGCTTATTTTATTAAGTGCCGCTATTTTTCGGTTACAGCTACTTTTATGGCCCCTGCACATGCGTAGGTGTGAGTGCATTCCAAACTCTATTACTCCCCTTTTTCCAAATTCCATTACAATATGCGAAGGTTTTTTGGTTGCCGAAGGGGTAACAATTAAATAAGTGACTATTTTGTAACTAATTATTGTAATTGAAATAATTTTAAGAAACTAATATTCAATTCAAACATTTTATAAATATATTATCTAATTCGAATCCCATAAATAGTCAGAGTTATTAAGCTAAAAATTTATAAATTAAATCTTTAGTATATAAAACTCTTGAATGGTAAAAAACTTTTAAAATGATACACCTCATTTTTAAATATTTTGAAAGAGTTTTCAAGTAAAATTTAAATAAAAGGCATTAAACTTGAAAAGCAATCACTTGTATATATTTAGGACACCAGTTGGAGGATTTTCTCCATTGAAAGTTCACTGAACCTTCACTATGCGCAAAGATCCTTTCATTCGACTGAGAAATCATTTTCAAAAGCTACCCAAAGGGCATCCAACCTGCGGCTTTTCACTCGATTTCACTGCTCTGACTTTTTTGTTTTATTTGCCGCTGTTTAGTTAATGGTTTAGCGTGTTACCCGGCGCACTGTGGCAACAATTCTTGTTTATGCGCCGCAAACATTTTTACCGCTCTCCTCCGAGTCCCGAGTCCTGCCATCCTTCCTTCCTGCCCACGGCTGCTGATGGCATTAAATTTTATTTCACTCAAAACCGCGCACCCATAGAATTGTTTAGTGGGTGTATGACCCCTCTATATATACATATATACATATATATGGTATGTTGCTTTTGCTTTTGGCCATGGCAACATTGTAACTTTGACGAGGGACTGCTGACGGCTGCACATGCCGTTGTATTTAAATAAATTGCAGCCCCTTCGCCATTGCAATTGTGGCGCAAATTGCGCTAATTTTGCTGATTGTGTAGTTTCGTTGTTATTTGTGAGTCCTTTTTTTTTGTAGTTTTCTATACTCTATGGTACCCTAGTTATTTTTTGTTGCTGTTGATAAGCTGCAAACTTTTATGGCATTCGGTGAAGCCAACTTTTGATAGATATTGGCCAGACAGCTTTGGTTGCCCAGCCATCTGAATGGATTAGATGCAATGGGAATATATACAATTAAATTTGCAGTTTTTTATCAGCAAAAAGCCTGGAATTTTTAAACCTTAAAGACTCGACTGTATGTATTATTTAAGTTTCATTTTAAAGTTGGGAATTAAACTTCTGAAGAAAACACATTACTGCAATGTCTCTGGTGTGGCTTTTATTTTATTAATGCAACACACTGCCAAAGATGAAGTCAAGTTTTTTGTTTTTTGTTGTTTTTTGCACTCTTCTTCTTCTAAATAAATGTTAGCTTCTGAGCATTTACTGTGATGTCATCCCCTAATATTGCAACCAAAATGTTGCAATATCTTGGCAGCAAGTTTTGCTCAAGCAAAGTTATCCTGTCCAGTCCTTTCTCCCTTGTCCAGTTTGTGAATTCTCACGCCTTTTAACTCAAGTTCCCCGAGTAATTGACCTTCTTCTTGGAGAGGGATGGCAGGATGGCAGCCAGCATTTGGAGCTTAGAAACTTTCACATCACTAAACCACTGAAAGTTGTTGACTTTATGCAACTTTTTCGTGGCCACAGACAACTACGTGAGGGTCTCTGCCAACACTTCAAGAGCAGCACCCCTTCCGGAAAACTCCACCCCACCCATTCGCTTTTAACACCACCCATCATCGGTCCGCCCTCCTGAAGGTTGACAAACAAGTTTGTTGTGCCTTGCATTTTTTGCACTTCAGA